ATTAGGAAGGCTTTCGCTTCGCCATGGAGTCTGCTCCTTAACAGCCAATTGAAAGTCTGCTGAATGTCCGTGTCTTGACAGAATTGGCGAAGATATTGCCCGTGAAACTTCGATTATTCGAAGTAGTATTTTCAATTATTGCATCTTACGTTGTATACCTAATGATTTTCTGCATTTCCAGCTAATTGCTGTCCTAGTTTGCACAAGCTGTTAACCTTTACAGCCGTCAGCGCTCAGCACCCAGCATCTCACTGCCATAGCCAGATATTGCCATAAGGATGACATCTCTAATTTCAGCGAATATTTGATTCAATGAAGATATCTTTCTTCTTCCTTAACCTGAGGCATACAGTCTCCGTATCTGCTCTCACATTTCCCATTGCTTAAAGATGGTTAAACGGTAACATCACTTAAAGAATGTGTTTATCCTGTTTCGAGGACGGGTGGTGTCAATAGATGTAGAGACTAAGAATAGGAGTTTGTCTCTGTTAGGTAAACCGATGCCTTAAAACAGTAGTGTTGAACAGAATATAGCGGACATCACCAACCAGAGCTTTGCCACTTTTTAAGATGCTGATTTCAAGAACACAGACTGTTAGATCGTTCTGATGAATGGCCATAGTTTTCTTCTTCACCATTATGCGAATTTTTTTCGCTTCGACTTGATCGATTTTCTCAGTTTTTCGTATAATATTTTATCAAGTTTTAGCATGCCAGCATTTGTTTCTCTGAACTGTTCCTAGCTGTTTATTTTGATAGTTGGCAGGTTCATTCTGATGCTTTTCCACATCTTGCCATTCATAATCATGAGCACAGAACACTTGTCTAAATTTATTACTTATATCAATTATTACTTATCAAAATTCCATAATCATATCCTCCAAAGAGATTCGAGTACTTTGCATTAGATTGTGAAGTTTTTCTACCGACCTATGAGATCATAACACGTTCATCTTTTTAAATCGCCAATTTTCATATGATGCGATGTTACACTTGCTTACTTCAGTTTATATATTTCTTTAGCGTTATTCAACAGGTGACAGCGGATTCAATGTCAGGTATAATAGAAACAGCGATATTGAATTTCCCTTGAACATTCCTTGCTTTATTTTAACTGATACTTAGAAAAGTTTCTTACTTGGCAGTTTTATTTCCCACTGTTAAACCTTAATTGGCTGTCGTTGATGTTGTCAACGTGTAGCCAGCAATTCAGCATCGGTTCAGATATCTTACTGTAATCGAGCCAAAATGTGTCCGTGTTTTTCTCATTATGCAATCCTTAGAGGTGTTGTGATCCTTGAATCATCTGGATATCCTTCGACAGTCTTTGTTCAAGATATGATATTATTCGCCTCGAGATGCTCGTAGATTGCACTGGCTATTACTGACATCAAGAGTTTTCAAATTTTTGAAAGGTCTTTCGTTAACTACATCAACATAGCTGAAGTTTTCGTTCTTCATCACTAGATATATTAGTTCTTTCGTTAACCTAGATACTGGTCCGTCGTTTCGCCATCTTTTCATGAATACTTATAATATTAATTGCATGTACATTACCCGTTTAAGCCAAAACTCATGCAGACTAACTTGCTCATTTTTTCACAGTAATTTGATGAGATGAAACCTTATATTTTCCACCGTTATTACCTGAAGAGAAAATGGATGGAATCGTCACACTGGGATATGCGTCACTCCCTTGTTTCTCTTTGCGTAAGGGGACGATTCGTAGCAGGCCACATTTTTATGTTATTGAAACTACTGCATTGCATTTTATGGAAGATTCTGTTACACTCCCCTTCGTTGCTTCTACTGTAGCGGAAAGAATGCTCTCACAATATAATTGTTATTAACCTGTAAACGTGCGGTGGTATAAGAAAGCGACATTTAAATAATTTTGGACTGAAGCAACTTATCGCGATCATCGTCTGGTTTGGGTGTTTCCTTTGCGAGGCTGCATTTTTCTGTTAGCTTCTTTTTCCGTTCTTTTCTAAGGCACGGCGTGCAACCAGTAGCTAGCTACTCTGGAATAAAAAGAATTTGCAGCATTAAAAAATTTCCTCACAATAAAGGAAAATTGTGACGAGTGGACACCATCATGAGTTTTTCAGAGGCTCATTGGTTGATCGTTTCTGTTTTCTTGGCAGGCTTCAATAACCACCATGGCGTTGGAGAGTTTAAACGCCGTCTTATTCGCCCGGCATCTTATGCTTTGATTGCTTCCGAGCTGAAAGTTATGGTAATTTAAAAGCCTAGGCTTAGAACTATCTTCTAACTTTATTTGTGAAATAAATAAAGTAACAACGTAATTGACCAAAATTTACAATCGGACATAAGTTTTTGAGCTGTCCTTGAAGTAAAGTTTTAAACATTTTGCCAGTTGTGCTCATGTTTCTTTGTTTCCTTGTAATTTTCGTCTGAGCACGTCAAGCATTAACATTGTAGCATGTGTTTGGTAATTTTTAACGATTTATTTTGTTTAGTTGTTATCACTAAATATTTATACAGCTTCTACGTGCCGGCATCCTTGAGCGAATCCCTTGTTCAAATGTCGCGGTTGAGAAAACATCAGATAACCCTTCGCAGGTACCTGCAAACAAATTCGTCTCAGAAAGCGACGACGGGTTCGCCATGCCGTTGGATTCGTTCAAAAACAGAGTCACTCTGTTGGAGCAACATACAGA